GGAGGACAGGGTGGGACTGCCACCACCTCTTCCCTAAGCCACGAGAGACAGGTGAGTTTTCCAACCCAGTGAACAAAGCAAGAAACTTCAAAGCAAGTCTGACTAAAGCCTGTTATGTGCTCAAAACACCTCCCAAATGAATGCAGTCTCCAGATTCTGTTTCAGAATTATCTGTTCTCTCTTCCAGACATGGGCCCACCAGGATACTGAGTGACTCCACTGATTATTTGTAAAACATAATGTTGAAGATCAGGCTTGAAACCCAGCCACACATCATGCCAACACCATGACCTTGAGAGACGGCTCACATTCTGTTTCCTCTTCGGGTTGTTTAGAACCATCACCAAGTGATCAGCATGGTACCTGGCACACATGAGGATAAAAATGTTATCCTATGCTAATCATAGGCTCTGTGCCATAACAGATACGCAATAAATAGGACACTCTAGCCACTTCCGACCTCAGAAGCTCTCCTCCTGCTCAACTCTGTGCAAGGAGCACACTCGGAGAGGATTTCTGCAAAGCCCTTTCTCCACATTTTTCCCCCATCCTGAGGAGGTGTACTGCTTTCTGTCCTACTACTCCCTGCACTTCTGTCAAAGGAGCAGTTTGCAAACCCCAGGAAACAGTGTGACACTATGGTCAAGAGCAAATCTGAACTCTGCCTTACCTGTCTTCAGCAAGCTACCTCACCCCTGAGCCTCAGATTCACCATTAGTAAGATGGAACTGGTAGTACCCACCCAGGGGACTGGAATGATGCATGTAAATTCTTAGCACAGTGCCAAACTACAGAAGCACAGGTCCCCACTGGAGTATATCTGGCACTTTGTTTTGCTGGAGCTAATTAACTTCCTTCCGGTTCCACATCATTATGCCATTTGCCAAGCTCCATATCAAGCCTATTCATCTTCACTGCTTGAATACTTGAATACTTGGTCATTTTGCTCACTGGTTGGCATTCCATTTGGTTGATATGTCATCATGGGCCATTTCTCTTCTGTAAAACTTGGGGCCTGAATACCAGTGACCACTAATTTCCCTTTCATGGCTAAATTTTCTGTCCTATGATTCTCTGACGCATTAAAAAGCCTTTCTGGGCGGGGAGAGATTCAAACCAGCCAATCCTAAACTGTTCATCCTACCACACCTATCCCATGGAAGCCCCAACAAAGGGCTTCAACAAAGTCTTAAACCTACCCCTTGTTCTTATTTTCTGCCTGCTGACCACCCTTGTGTGGTCCTGTGTGGTATGCCCCATGCCTTCTCTCTCTAGGACCTGTGAATATAATAAACTGTGTCTCTTCTGTCATCACACCTGACTGACCATCACGTAAAAGAATACAAAACAACCACACAGGTGTTTAACAATTTTCAGGCCTACAAAGCACTTCCACATTCATTATATATAATTTCCTCTTCAAAAATCCATTGTGCAGTTGTCCCTGTACAACACAGAGAACATGTTCACGGGTGACATGACCAACTCAGAGTCTGCATGAGTACAAGAAAACCAGAACTCAGTTCTAGGTTTGCTGAGCCCCAGAGGAATCAGTGAAGATTATTTCTGCTATATTCCTTTTATTAGAAATAAGAAAGACTAACTTGAAGGGCTGCATAACACTCACCCACAGAACTAAACTTGGGCAAGTCTTTCTTTTCACAGACTGAGGGTTGAGAAGCATCCAGATGCCAAGCTCTGTGGTATAAGGCACCCAACAATAACAGACACGTCTAAGAGACATCTAAGTAATGACAAGACTCGAGGCACCACCATTTTCCATTATAGAAACTCAACATGCATGGAGGATCTAAGCAGTTACCTGACTTCCCAGTTCTGTCAAGTTTACTTGATGGCTCTAATACTTCCCGGAGAAGCCATTTTGGAAAGGGCATTTATCACCCATTCCCTCTCCCATGCTTTTACTTCCCAAGAACACTGCAGAACTATGAAACACCAAATTTGGCCAAAATAATGTGTTTAGAGCAGGGATTCTCAAACCTCATGTGCATCAGGATCATCCGGGTGCTTGTTAAAACATAGATTGCTGGACTCTGGGGTGAAGCTCAAAGTATTTGCACTTCCAACAAGCTGCCTGGGTGATGCTGATGCTATTTGTCTGGTGGCCACTCTTGACAACCACTGGTCTAGACAGACCAGCCATATTCCACCCCTCCTTGAAATCCTGACTACAGGCCCCATGCTGGTCTACCATTTTCTTATTAGGTAACAGGAGATGGGTGGCTATCTCCTCCACCATGCACACCTAGAATCATGAAATAGAAGAGGGATATTTGCCTACCATTTCAACAGCAGAGATGCAAGAAAGCAAGTGAATTTGCTTTGATATACATACTAACAAGTCCAGGTCCACAATATGGCCCATACACTGCAGGAAGCAATATTTCTCCACTTTAATCATCCCAGGGACCTGTACCAGACAACTGGAGACCGCCCCTATTGCTTAGAGCCCAACAAAATTATTCAAACCAGCCAGTCCTAAACTGTTCACCCTGCCACACCTAACCTCAACCCCTCCAAAAGTAGTAGGAAAGATGGGGTTTATGGGATTCTGAAAAACAGAGAGATTACTCGAGGGCATTTGAGCTCTTCCTCTGCTTTCTCTCTATAAGTGCTAAGATTGGTTCAAGAAGCAGCAGTTAGATGTATAGTTTATATTTTCTTACAAGTAAACCCAAAGATTGTTAAAATTCACAGGAGATACAAATCTGAATATATTTTTTAGAAGTAGCTTCTTTCTCAATTCCAGCAGGATGCCGTCACCAGCAGCTTCGTGTCCCATAGATGCAGCAACCGTATAATCTATTATGCACACCTAGACTCTTCTAATAGTCAAAGGAGGCATTATTAAGAATTACAAAGGTACTGTTGCAGGCCAAGGAGGATATGAGTATGAGATTAGCCCAGCAATAAGGTACCAAGAAGCAAGGAAAGATGCATTCTCCGATGTGCTACATCTGTTCTTGCCTTACATACCCGCCTCTCTTCAAGTAAGTACTGTATCTTGGTTATGTAGGTTGGGAACTCCCAGCAAGTGTTTGAGGGTGTGTCTGCATGTATTTTCTTTTTCTTGTAATTTTCAATCAACCTGCAAGATGGAGGTGGCAAGATGTTTTCCCAGAAGACTGGAAATTGAGTTTGTTCACTCATTTATTCTAATCATCTCATGCCATAAGTGGCTTTTACAGTTGTACCAAGCCCACTACCAGTAGCCAATGCTAGCGTGTTTCAATATACTTTCTTTGACATGGGCACAGCAGTGAGGCAGTGAGTCAGACATCAAAGGATGACTCAGATGCCCATTTCCTGGTTAAACATCACCAGTGCCCTCATCAAAGACCTGCCTAAAAGCCTCCATTCCTGCCTAAGTCAGATGACCACAGTTAACCTTCTCTCCCCTCTGAATTGTCTTCTGGCTCCTGGAAGGGGAAACTTAGACTGGTCCTTCCATGCCTCTTTTTTCCTAGGCTAGAAGACATGAACTGGCAGCTGGCAAGATAGAAATGACCTGGAGAAATGGCAATTTACTTGATCCGTATGTTGGTGAACCATCGTGTAAAAATTGGGTGCTTTCACATAAAAAAATACAAATTCCAGAAAAAACTGATTAAAAAAAAAAATCAGAGATCTGACAATACCAGGACTGTCTGGGAGGCACGGAAGAATTGGAAAAGAATGAAGTCACAGAGGTGGACAGGACACAACAGGACCATGGAGACTAAAGGGCAAGCAGCATTTCAACAAGAGAAGCCAGGTAAGATATGCCATGGACAATTGAGACAATGTCTTTGTATTTGTCAAGCAGGTATGTTAGAATTTTACCAGCTAGGTGTGTAGAAGACAGCAAGGGAGTGACTAGGACTAAAATTAGTGAGTAGACTAAACATAAAGAAAATGGGCTTCAAAAGTAATATCCACTTACCTAGCTGCTGTAAAAGTTAGAATTCAGCGACAATAAAGGGAAGGTAACATTTGGCAGCAGTTAAGAGTTGCAAAGTAGAGTGAATGTGTCATAGATGAGGCATGGTCACATCAATAACATTCCAGAGGAAATCAGAAGGGTTCAAGTAGAAAGCAAAGATGGAAGGGCTGGCTGGAGAAAGGGTGGGATGATCTTGTTGTCAGTTTCACAGCCATGTCACGCACACAAATGGCACAGACGTTATCAGCCAGCATGCTTCACCATATCCAGAGGGCACACTCTTGAGATCAGGATGTATTTGAGTGCTATCAAATAATCCAAAAAATGTACCTGTGCTCTCATAAAAGAAATAATTTTCAGCCGGGTTCAGTGGCTCAGTCTATAATCGCGTACCTTTGGGAGGCTGAGGTGAGTGGATTGCCTGAGCCCGCGGGTTCGAGACCCACTTGGGCAGCGAGACCTCATCTCTACAATAAGTCAAAAAATCAGCCGGGTGTGGTAGCGCGTGCCTGTAATTCTGGCTACTTGGAAGGCTGAGGCGGAAGGATCGCCGGAGCCCAGCAGGTCGAGGCTGCGGTGGCTGGGAGCGGCCACTGCACTCCAGTCTGGGCGACAGAGTGAGACTCCAACTCAAAAAAAAAAAAAGAAATAATTTTCTTGTTTGTCAAGAAAGCATACTAATATTGTTTGAATTACTATATAAACTAATGGGGGAAAACCCAACACCAGTGCACACTTTTTAAAAATACATAAAAATATGACAGGGAAGCATTAAGCTTAAAGGAATCTTTAAAGAAGCCCAAAGAATATCTCTCTGTGATGTGAATATTTACTAAATAAAAGGAGAACAATAGCTAAGACGCAAACCCGCATCTCCAAATGCTTGATCAAATTTGAAGAGATGAGTCAATAATAAAATAATGAACTGCAGGTTCATAAATTTATGTAAGCTCTCTTTAAGCATTTCAAGATAGTTCTATGTAAAGTCAACCAGGAACAACTGTTTGTATAGTGAATCACATAGGAAACTTTTTAAAGTATAAATCCAACACATCAATATGTCCATTTTTTGGTTTATTAAAATAAAACTACATTTCTGTGCTTCTTGTAATACATTAACAAGCATAAAAATCAATCAGTACTTCCAAGTAAGTTCCATTCACAAAATCACACAGTGTTATTTTACAGTACTTTATAGGAATTCTTTTTACATAATCTTAACATTTCTTTGTACAACAGGCAAATAGTTTAATACCTTCCATCAAGACATTACAGAGGCTTCAATGTTTAGAAATAAGGTCAAGGGTCTCTTTCAAATGCAATCATTAGTCTGTATTAAACTAAAATGCCAGATGGCGAGTCTCAGGTTCCTAAAAAGAGTTTTAAAAAACAGATTTACATTCCATAGTAAGTCTTATAAACCTCAATAATAGGTGCTATCATTCTAAATACTAGAACTACCTATGGATAAAAATCTGCATTCAATTGTGCAGTATTTTCTTCTGAATCTGAATTAAAACCTTAATTATTTAGCCCAATTAATCCTTGTATTAATTCTGGTACTTTCAGTGAAAAAGCCAGGATCATTGATGGCTGTTCTTTCCATCAAAGGACATTATAGTTTTCTGTGCTTATTCTCTCAAGGGGAGGAAAAATATATCTCCTTTTGGTACAACATCAGAAGATAAACCATGCATGCAAATCCTCAGTGCTATCTGTTCATTATTGCTTTGTCTCCTTAAAGAACCACCTAACATACTGTTTCCCAACATGTTTTCCATGGGACACTAGTGAGAGGTTCATGGGTGTCCCAAAGGGGAAAAATGTCCTGGTGTCAAAAGAATTTAGGCAGTGCTGGGTTAAACAGTTCTTCACTGCCAGACGCCAAGCCCTTACTGCACCGAAGTGCACTGTAAGCTTCCATGTGCAAACTTAGTTTACCAGCAATACTTTTTCTACAAAACACTGATGAACATTTCACAGAGCACTCATATTACATAGAGCACTGTGGAAAATGCTTTGCCCCTCTAGGTTACTGGAAATTCCACAATCTGAGCTTGTGTTCATTACAATCCTGGGAATATTTTCCCTACTCACTCTCATGACTTTGTGAAATCTGAAAAGGAAGACTCAATGCTTTCTCAGTTACTAGTTCTACACAGTTCTCATCAGTTTTTACCTTTGTTTTTCTTGAAGGTTTAAGAGAGCAAAAATTCCTTTCTCTCTTCTAAATTACTTAGGACATTCTCATTTTTAAAAAGAGTGCAGTTTTGTATTGCTTAATATTGTTTTTGTTTTTAAACTTGACTCACAGTCTTCCCCTGAAGGGCATGCATTTCATTTCATAGAAATGCAATAGAGTAAACTGTAATACAGTATTTACAAGCACCTAGTTTAATCTTACATGGAAGCCATAGCTGTTGGAAAACAATGAGAAGCAAAACAGTGCTACCTGGAAGCCTTATTGTGATGATGCTATTTTTTTCAGTCATGAGGCACTGAAGAATGAATTGTGCTGAAATTAACTCAAAGGTCAGCTTGTCTGGATGAGCATAACTTTGGTTGAGATTTTTCTTCCTTAAAAAAGATTTTTTAAAGCACCAGTTAATTACAAAAAGCATGCATATTTATCCTCATAGTGAGTTAAGTGGCGAGAGAGCTAGCAAGTCATACATTGCATTCCCCAAAGCATTTGATTGAATTTCTAGAAAGCAGACCAACCAAAAGGAAAAATAATGCAAGAGAAGCCATGGTTTCTCTGCCCAGGTTGGTGAAGCAGCAGCTCTTTGCAGGAGCGGCAGGCAAGACAGCAGTGTCCATTGAGAAGTCAGTCCCAACCTTGACTTCCCAGCTAACTAGCAGAGTTTGAGTAATCCTTGGTCTATAATTCAGAGGAAGAATAATAGGGACTAGTGAAATGCTTGATTCCCCAGATAAGGAACTCTCAAGGAAATAAACAAGACTCCCTTGATATCCCCAAATGCAGCCAAGAAAAGAAGTGTTTTCCTACCCTTATGAGTAAAATGGAATGCTAAAATCTCACTCTACACCAGAGTCACTACGACAAACAATGACTTAATAGTATGTGAGTTCCTATAAAGATAAAGAAAATTTATATTTTAAGTGCAAAACTTGAGAAAACTGGAAGAGGAGCACAACAGCATAGCATTATTGCTATGAATTTGAAACAAGATATTTCATACAATGTGAAATACCAAACAGAATCCCTCCCTCTCCCAAAACACACATATTCACGAGACACTATTAGTGCTTAAAATCCAGCTTATGAAGGTATAAATTTAATTCTCAGGTCTTTTATACTAAATTTGAAGAATCTATTGAACACTCATCTGGAAAAAAATTCTAATTTCATAATATCATGGAGATAAGAGAGAGTAAACTGTTAGCAAATGTTTTAACATCACATGATCTTTAAGAAATCACCATAATTATCACAATTAATTAATAATTTATGCTCCCTGCTCATGAAAAGGCACCTACCCATTATGAACAGACAATTTTTTAATTGCCACTATGTGACATTGGAGTTTAGGTATATAACCCATATGAGTTTTTAAAGAACCATGATTTGTCCTCAAAGCTAAAAATCCATAAATGTCTCCAACCATCATCAGTAGAGTCATAAAACATACTGCACAGGTTGCATACTGCACAACTCAAGTAGGTACCAGTAACCCAGACTGAGGTGCAGTGTACAATCTGTGTGTAATACACAAAAGTCCTAGGTCAGCAGTCTGTATCCAGAGAACTACAGTATACTCTGTATACTAACAGAGTCCACCAGGCCAACCTAATCAAACCTAAACAGTTGCTATTAAGTTGAAGAATTCCCAATAAATAGTTGTACTTGAGAGAGGCAAGTACCACCTGTGGGGTGGGAAGGGATATAGACAAAAATCAGGAAGGGTTCTAAATACTTGCTGGTCATTTAAAACTCAATGGCACTTTTTTAAATGAGTAAATGTTTTGAATGCCAGTTTTCTGGCCAAGTTTACCTTAAATTTTGTAAGTCTAGTTAATTTCCTGATGTTAACTGTTTGATCACAATATCTCAATTCCTGACCCAAACTAGTATTGTCTATTTTCATGTAACTCTTAAAAACACTTTCTAAATCTGACTGCAAAGGACAGCACAGTGATACCTGGGTATGATGCATATCAGCTCATTCATTTGTAAAGCACTTTGGGGTGAAAGGTATTCCCATTTAAAATTCAGCTACAATCAACAAAGATAAAATTGAAAAAGAATTGATAAACAGCTCAGTTATTTTCAAAGACAGCATCAACCATTAATCAGAAAATATACCAACAAATTACCAGACAGCATGAGGCATACATACCACCCAAGATTCAATTCTAGAATACAACTACATTTCTGTGTCCATCACAGCAATTAGCTCTTAAAAGCTGTACTTAAAATGTAAATCTTTAATAAACTTTGAAATAATTTATTGAGATTTCATCTTGCATTCTACTGATTATGAGTTGAAACAGAGGCTGAGGTACCCCCAAGTGTTATCTATAGGCTGCTGTGTCATCTCAGAGTTGGGAAGTTCACAGATCCAGAGAGGGAAGAAGGCACTTGTCTTCCAGGGGATCGCTTCAGGACAGGGCAGGCCTGACCACACTTTGAGCCAGAGGCTGGAGGCTACGAGGCACTCGTCTCATGCCCTTCACTTGCCAGAGGCACCACATGTTGCCTACAGCACTACAAAACTCAGAATATATTCTAGGAGTTTTTGCCGGTTGCATTGAGGTAGAAAGGTGCTGCTTAGTTCTAAAACAGATACTCTCTTTTGTTTGGTCTCTCTGAAAACCTAAAGAGAAAGTTTATATTAAATTAAAGGCTAAAAAAAAAAAAGACATTTTTGTCACCAATTCTGACTTCATCCTTGACCCCAAAAGGCAGTGAAGGCACATAAAATCATATTCTGGCTCTAAGTAAACATATACATGGGTGTATTGAGTACAAGATGGGAGCTTAAGGGTACAAGCATGGTGTTTTTTTGGCTGGAATTCAACCAGTGTACTATACTTTAAATTTTGTGTTAGAATAAACACAAATAGTTCCTTACAAAAGGGCACTAATTTCTCCACGAAACTCATGTTCCACATGATACATGAAGGTAAAGGGCACCTAAGGATACTTCTAGCAATCCCAGTAAAATACAAGAAAATAACAAAAAATCCTATTAAATGATTAAGAACCAAGATAGTGGTATAGGATTCCTAATCAAAATGCTCCAAAATCTAAAACTTTTTGAGAGCCAACATGATGTTCAAGAGAAATGCTCATTGGAGCACTTTTTTGGATTTCAAATTTTCAGATTAGGAATGCTCAGCTGATAAATATAATGCAAATATTCCAAAATCTAAAACATTTCTCGCTTCAACATTTCGGATAAGGGATACTCAACCTGTAGCATCTTGAAACATATTGGTACCTATTATATATAAGCAGTTTTGGAATGAATGTGAAACCAACAAAATTCTGGAAAATCCAATTGGATCTACACTTATGGGTCTCAGCTTCAGCATATCCCCCTACCTACTCATACTTTCCAGAAATACCTTCACCATTAACGCAGCAGGAACTACTTCTCTCAGGGTCCATCCACCACAAAGTTAGCTCAAACAAACTAGATCTAAAGAGAATCGAAATTAACACAGCTTCTATACTATAAATGATAGACACTTACCCCAATATCCTTAAACATTTTCACAGCATTCTTCACAAGACAATATGTGGCACTCTCCGCTGTAGAGAAATAATAGACATGTCAAATGTTTAGGCCCAGCAAAATATGAAAATCCCAACATCCATAGTAAGGAAGTACGGAGGGCTAGGAAGAGGATTAGGGCAAGTCAGTAAACAGAGGTTCAAGCTCCATTTCTGCCACCTAGCAACCTGTGAGGTCTCAGATATGTTGCTCTTCCTTTCAACCTACTTTGCTATCTGTGAGGGAAAAAAAGAAGTGGGAGAGAAAGAAGGAGGGACACAGAGAGAAACAAAGTGGGGAGAGGAAAGGAAGAAAGGAGAGGAAGGGAGGGAAGGAGAACAGGAGGGAAGGAAGAGGAAACAACTAAAATAGCCATCTTGCAGGCTTTTTGGGAGACTCAAATGAGACAGTGTATAAATATTCTTTAAAGTATTCAGTGGTGCACAGACATTTCCTACATCAATGGAACCAAAAAGAGCACAAGCCTAGAGGTTAGAAAACAAGAATTCTAAACTCAAGTCTACCCATTAAATAGCTAGGTGACCTTGACTAGTTTCCTTACCTATACAGTGAGGTGATTAGATTAGATTATTTCTAGATTCCTTCTGGCTCTAAAAACTGATTCAAAGTAGTATCAGTTCCAAATCACGACTGTATAAAATGCTGCTCCCACCTCAAGCACACCTCCTATAAAAAGATGATCTAAGTAACAACACTAAGTGCTGGCCAGGATGTAGAGCAACTGAAACACACACTGTTGGTGGGAGCGCAAGTTGGTACAACCACTTAGAAATCGTTTGGCTGTATCTACGAAAGCTGAATATACCCAGAGCCTATGACCAAGCAATTTTGTTCTCACATATATGAGCACAGACGTTCACTCAAAGACATATTCAATGTTCTTACCAATACTGTTCAAAGTAGCTCTGAACTGCAAACAGCCCAAATATCCATCAACAGTAGAATGAAGAAAATAAAATGTGGGTAATATTTGTACAATGAAACACCATACAACAAGAAATAGCAAACAGCTACATGCGACATGTATGAATCTCACAAATAATGTTAAGTGAAAAAAGCCAGACATAAGAATATATAACAGGTGCCGGGCTCGGTGGCTCAGCCTGTAATCCCGCGCCTTTGGGAGGCTGAGGTGAGTGGAATGCCTCAGCCCACGGGTTCAAGACCCACCTGGGCAGGCGAGACCTCATCTCTACAATAAATCAAAAAAAAATTAGCCAGGCGTGGTAGCGTGCGCCTGTAGTTCCAGCTACTTGGAAGGCTGAGGTGGTAGGATCACCAGAGCTCAGCAGGTCGAGGCAGCGGTGGCTGGGAGCAGCCACTGCACTCCAGTCTGGGCGACAGTGAGACTCCAACTCAAAAAAAAAAAAAAAAAGAATATATAACAGGGTACCTGCATAATGAATATTTGTATACCTAGCCCTGAATTGTATCCTACATCTTTAAAATTTTTTTAAAAAGAACATATAATGGTATCATTTAATTTATATAACATACCAAAATGGATTATAGTAATAAACTATGGAGCTAGAGGTCAGGATAAGTTTGCAATTTTCTACAGTTAGCAGACTTCTGTAATCAAAAAAGGCATAGATTTTAAAAGACAACCAAATAGTGACTTAGCATACCATATACTGCAACATTTCTTTCTGTTCTGGTTATCAGGTATTTGTGCAACTTTTGCAGATATTCAGGCTCTGGAACAGGACCACTGAAGTTGTGAACAAAGATGGCAGCAGAGCTGTAAGCCTCCAGCAAAGGCCCAAGGAGTCTCTGTAAGAAGGTGACAAACTGCTGATGCTCCTTGGATTGGCTCACCTACAAGTACAAGAGCAGGAGATGAAGTCATGGGGGAGGGACAAGAGACAAAAAGCAAGTGGACAGAGGACATTCTTTGAAGAACCAGTAACTTGAGAAGATGGCCACTCACACCAATACTGCATGAAAGCAGCCAACTGCTCCTCGTGCAGAGAATCTCTGTTGGAAACAAGTGCTGGTTTTGAAATGTGTTCTTTATTGGAATCATTCACTTTTACAGTATTTGAGGCTTGTGTTCACTGAACAGCTGCCTGGAAGAAATTTTCATAATTGAATGCCATAATTATGACATATAGACACCAATGAAAATAGCTGATGCTGAGGCTGGGCCCTCCAGGGCTTAAAGCTCAACAGTCACTCAAGTGTGCAAAAAGGCCAAAAGATGAGACCACCAAGATCATCATCTCAGTCACTCCTCAGCTTTCCCTCCCTACTTCCCCCCATGGTCTTCACTCACAGTCGGTACTGTCCCCGCTGATGGCCACAGTGACAGATGCCTCATGACAGGGGAGACTCTGTACCTACCCAACACACACAGGTTCAGTGAAGCCCTTCTGAAGTGTGGAAGCAAAATCAATGCCCATTCTCGAAACCAAATTAATAATAGCCAAATGAAAAAGAGGAGAATTTCCAAATATCATTTGGAATCTTCAGAGGCTAGACCTCCTGACAGTGCATGTGAGTCCATGTGTGTGTGTGTAAGCTGGGAGTGCTATCTCACTGCAAAGAGTAAGGTGTGTTGAGATAAGATGGGCCATCATTACTAGCTATTACTAATTTCTAAAATCACAAATTGGACAAAATTGATTTTTCTAAATCAAAGAAAAATCTTTTAAAATCTAAATTTTCTTCTATGATATGATTTGTTTTAATTAAAGGCAAAGAGCTCAATGTATAAAATCTTGGAAGGCATGGCAAGAGTGACTCAAAAAGAGCAACCAAGCCAAAAGCAACTTAATATTAATTTCAAACAAAAATACGACTTTATGAGGAGTGGGTGCAGGTGTCAGGGAACCGGCAGGCACCTGTTCATTTCACAAAAGGTGGTGAAATGTATCATCTTCCTGACTTTTTAGACTCATTTCCTTTTCTACTTACCAATACCCAAACTGAATAATTTAAGGTTTTAACTCAGTCTGAGTAGTATCAGAGCTAGTTAGTGAGTGCTTTAGACATGAATAAATCACCAGGGTCCCAGTTTATCTAGTTGCAACATAAACCAACATATCCCTATAATGTCAATCGAAATTCTTCACCAAAGTACCTTCAGGTAGCAATCTCGCTGCTCCTCACCAAAGTCACTGTCTTCATCTTCTTCATCACTTCTCCAAGACAAAGGCTCAGGAAGCTTCTTGTCCCACTGCGGCTCAGCAAGACCAGGGCTGATATCTTCCTGGTCATCTTGCTAGGTCAAGGAAATGACCAACAGTAAATACCTATGCACAGGCACACAAACAACTACCCAGAGGGAGCCAAACAAAGCAGTCCTCGTTTCAGTCCCTTCCCAACTCTTCCCTGTTTAGCCGTTTGTAATGTCAATCCACTTCCCTTTCCAAATTAAAATTCATTGAGAGAGCAGGGGAGGAAAGAAAGGGTGGTTGGGAGGGGAGGTCTACAAAACAGGGCAAATAAAAATACCTTCACATCTCTTAAACTGTTATCTACTTTCCTAGGCCATACCCTCTATATGAAATCTACCAAAATTAAAAGAATACCTCAAAAAAGAAAAATGCAGATGTGCAAGCTGCAAGCACACTGATACATGTATAACATCTTATCTAAGGATGCAAATCTCTGGATGTCACAGAATCAAGTCAAGATGTGTTTTAGACAATACCATTTACACAGTAAGAGTCAAAATATTAAATAATCCTAAAAGACATTTATTCTCCCCATTCTTATTTTTCTCTTTTCTTCATGTGAACATGACTATTATCAAATGTAATTTGTTATTTAAATAACTAAAGAGATAAGGAAATGAAGAGCAAGAAACTAAACAAAGACAAATAGGAAAGCTCCTCCTCTTACCTCAGCCACTGAAAGAATACCATATTGGATAAACTTTCCTACTGTTTCATGGCAAACTTGGTAAAATGTCTGGCAGGGCTAAAAAGAAAAGTCATTTAGGTGTAAATGTCACTGTTTTATACTTTCTCTAAAGATAAAAAGCACTGCACAAGGTAGTTGCCAAATACTTCCATTCCTTCCCTCTTTCATGTCATTGCGCAAGTCCTGAGATTCCCTACACCCACCCTCTTGATGAATGCATGGTGTGGACCAAGCCCCAGAAAAGACCTCTTTCACTTCACCAGCAGAGCATCCAGGGCAGCACCACCTGCAAAGGATGTTCCTGAACTCAATTCTCTTCCCTCAACGGGAAAGCCCTCAGAAGGCTGCTTGTCAGGCACCCACCACCTGTCTCTTTTCTTTATAAGACTATTTCTCTGCCAAAGCTACCTTATAATGCATATTGTACACAAAAGTGGCAAATGAAGAAAATTGACATTCTAATAACTTCAGAAAGACCCAGGGAAAGGACAAGGTCAATCTTAGGAGCCTTATCTGCCCCCACCTCTCCGGTTTTGCCATCCAAGGTAAATGCAAAACAGATTCCCTAGCAGGAACACCAACATACCACACACAAAGAATGATAGGCCAGGGAGCTAGACTCATAATACCTGTACTCATAAATGTCTCCAGATACATTCATATAAAACAAAACATTAGAATTTAAGTAAAATATGAATTCTACTTGTTAATTATTTTGAGGAGGAAAAATTCTATTGCTTAGAAATAATATAAATGCTCATTAGCACCACTGGGCCTTGAATTCCTCATTTGTAAACTGAGAGAGGGCTGATCAGATGATTTGTAAGGCTGTTCCTGGCTCTTATCACCTGTAGTTCCATCATCCATGGGTGGGTGAGTTAATTATTTACAAACCACTGACCCAGTGCCTTCTGCACAGTAAGTGCACAGTAAGTGTTCAGAAGCTGACTTCTGACTGTCAGAACACTGAGCAATCTGTCCCATCATGCTTCATAGCTGCATGAAGGATTCGCTGGAGCAGAGAGCCAGTGAGCAAACCAAAATAGTAAATGACATATTGGTTTGGTGTCAATGATGGGTCAAACATTCTTTAAGAGAAAAGCACAGGTGGTTCATGTTTTCATGAAAAAAGAGAATAGGCAACATGGAAGAGTCTTCACTCACCAGCGAGATGGTCCCTTCATTGGAGAGCAGGTAGCACAGGCTAGCCGCTTTCCGTACCAGCTGCTCCTGACTGATCAAGCTGGGAGGGGCACTGGCAGGCCCTCCCAGACCCCGCTTGTTCAGAACTGCATAAAGGCTGCAGGCTATGGAAACAAAGACATCAATGATGTTGCCGGCTCTAAGTCTCCAAGAAAAACGTAAACTGGCTCAGATAATTTGGACTACCTTAAGAGATTGTTAATATATCAAATCTGTATTTGCTGGAGAAATTTAAGTAAATCCTGCACGATTCCATGCAATCCTAAGTCCATGAAATCCTAAGTCCATGAAAAGCCTTTCCTATAATCTCATCTGCTCTCTCGCCTCTGTATTCTTAATCACAGATGAAGTCCTCTACTCACTTCACTGCCCTGTGTATATCTCATCTCAATCAAGGTTTTGGCTCCTTGATACCAAAACATCTTACTTACCTACCCTTAGTAATAAGTGTACTATTACGCAAACAGTCATTCAGTAACTATTTGTTATAGTGATATAACAGCAGATTACATTTTCGCTTGAAAACTAAAAACATAAACATGCATTCCATCACCCAAATTCAAGCAGATACCACTAAGGGTTTTAGGCCCTTTTATTTTCTATGAAAATATTTCAGGGTTTGACATACCTATGATGGCCTCCATGATAAAGACATGGAGTACCCCATTGCTGTAGAAATTGAGTTCAAAGACTGATGGGACAGTTGTGCTGGGAGTAATAAAAAACTCATCGTTCCTGCTCGTGTGAGTGATTGTGACACAATTTCCCAGCAGCTGTATGGCATGCATGACTACATCTTCTGAATTTCCTGAGAACCCCAGGTCAAAATCACGAGCCAGGACTTCCTCCTTCATCACAAAGAAGTCTTCTACCAATGTGGAGAGATCAATTCCCTAAAAAAAAGAGACAGTCTCATGACAGTGAAAAACCTACTTTCCAAAAACCTGAGAGTTCAATATGCCAAGATTTTCTTCTTGCCTTGGCTTTTTCTGCAGCTCACTATTGGCACACATAGAGATAGGGCCAGAATACCAATGCAAAGCAAGGCAAAAATCAGCTCAAGAAGCTAGCACCCCAGGAATGTCAAGGTATCCCACATTCCAGAGAACACTCCAGCCACCACACATAACGTAAGTATATAAGATCATGAGGGTAAATAAAAGCCATCTGCAAGTATGAAGTGCTTATTTTTTAGCTAGAATTTCTTTCACTTTAAATATTTATATGACAAATATTTACTTGGTTTCTCTACATATTGGTACCATGTCTGGTGTTAAGAACATGACTGCAAGCCAGGCTTGGTGGCTCAGCCTGTAATCCCGCACCTTTGGGAGGCTGAGGTGAGTGGATTGCCTGAGCCCACGGGTTCGAGACCCGCCTGGGCAGGCAAGACCTCATCTCTACAATAAAATAAAAAAATTAGCCAGGCGTGGTAGCGCGCGCCTGTAATTCCGGCTACGGAAGGCTGAGGCAGAAGGATCGCCAGAGGCCAGCAGGTCGAGGCTGTGGTGGCCAGGAGCGGCCGCTGCACTCCAGTCTGGGCGACAGAGTGAGACTCCAACTCAAAAAAAAAAAAAAAAGAACATGACTACAAATCAGACAGACATGGTATCTCCGATTACAGAGCTTAGAGAAAGTGTATTGTGGGAAGGTAGAGGGTAGGTTCTAAAATACAAATCAGTATATATACCACATGCCAGTGAAATACACCTTATTTGAGTTAATAATATTAATCAAAGAATGTCTTCTTACATACGTATATTAAGTAGTCTGTTTTTAGGGGAGTGTTTGAATTTTTGTTTTTTTAGTGTAGATTTTTTTCCTCCACCAGGTTGATAAAGTCCTCTGGGCAAGATCTTCAGCTTATTCTATTTATCTCATAGTACTAGTCAAGAGAAGGCAAACCTACCCCCGAATATGTATTTGAACAGCTGACAAAACATTCTCCTGCTTCCTATTTAGCTGCAGGTGACATTGCAGACATACCTGCCTATGTCTGTAGAGGAGCAGGCAGGCCACAATGTGTGTTGACATAATGGCACAGGACTTGCTAGCAGCTGGAAAACAAGTAGAAAGATTTAGTTGCACTTTTTCTTTTTAACACAGCTGAACTTTTTTAAAGTACTTAAATTTTAAGCAGGATTATTTAAATCTATAAAAGTCCTCTATCACAGCAGTCTCCAACCTTTTTGGCATCAGGGAGACTGGTTTCATCATGGAAGACAATTTTTCCATGGAATGGCGAAGGAGCAGATGTGCATTCAAACCTCACTGCTAATGTTAATCTGTATTTGGAGCTGCTTCCCAGCACTAGCATCACCTCCTCAGCTCCACTTCAGATCATTAGGCCTTAGTTTCTCATAAGAAGCATGCAACCTAGATCCCTCACATGTGCAGTTCACAATAGGATTCACACTCCTATGAGAATCTAATGCCACCACTGATCTGACAGAAGGCGGAGCTTGGGGGTAATGTGAGCGATGGGAGTGGCTGTAAATACAGATGAAGCTTCCCTCACTCATCTGCTCCTCACCCCCCATTGTGTAGCCCTGTCCCTAACAGGCCACAGACTGGTACCAATCTGTGGCCCAGGAGTTGGGGATCCCTGATCTATTACATTTCCCATAAGTGTGACTTACCAAAAGGAAGTTATAGCATTGCACAGTGTTCTGGTACAATGGAACCTCATTAGAGATCACTATTCATCATATAACAGACTAAGACCAGTCCATCTTCAATCTGAGTCAATAGAATTTAGTGACTGCATGACCAAGAAACACCTTTATTGAAATACAGAGAACCAAAGTATGAGCCTTTTTTAGGAGTTCTACATAATATCCACTTTTCATATTCCTTGACTTGTTCCTGGCTGCAGTATACAACTCCACTTCACTATTCTTACAGGTTTTCACCACATTAAAATGAAAATATAGTGGAGAGAAAAAGTAGATGTGAAATAAGAAAAATCCAGGCTCCAATACTAATTTCTTTACTAACTCATTTCATGACTTGGGGAAAATTACTTAAACTCCTGGGCCTCAGTTACCTCACTGGAAAAATGAAAACACTACCTAGGTTGTCGTGCTATGTGAGAATAAAATGACTGTCCTGACTGACACAGGACCCATAGTAATGGGTGTTCAATATATCTGCATTTCCTCTTTTCAACCTGGCCCAGAGGTGGGGAGGAAGGGCACAGAAATACATTTGAGAATCACTATAATGCATAACCCAACACTTTGAATTTGCAGAAAATTATAATCATATAAATCAAATCTGAGAACATCCATGAAATAATCCGAAAATAAAGATAACATTTGTGAGTTTTCTGAGAGATGACCATGAATTCATAAATACTCAAAATTGAAACTGTCTCCACTGTTTAAAAAGTACTCTCCTGAATTGTACCCCACATCTTTAAAATAAAAAAAGAATAAGTACTCAGTACCACATTTATAGCCACTAAAATTAATAGTTGTAAAGAGTTTTTTAAAAACATGAGTAAATGTTTTGTTACAAATGAAAGCCAATACAATAAAAAAACTGTAAAAAAAATATTTTTAGAGACTATACAGTAACACCACTGCTTATTTGGGTAGCAGGTTTTTGCTACATATTTCATCTTTAGTTTTCAACTTTTCAACAATAAGAATGTGGGTTTTTTGCATGTGGATTTTAAGCAGAGGAGAGACACAACCAAAGTTATTTGAGAAAGAGTCCTCTGGCCCAAAGTCAAGAAGGAATAGGAGCAATCAGAGTGAAAGGAGGAACATGAGGGAAGGGAAGCCTCCCCAACAGCCTTGGACAGAAGTGCTGAAAGTCTGACCAGAGTCCTGGCCCAGAGAATAGCAAGAAGGAGTTCCCAACTGGTCTGAGTACCAGAGAGCACCATGCTCCCTTGGATCTTAAAGCACTCACTACACCAATACACACGCTGCAACTTGGAACTTAAGAAAGCTGGTTTTACAGGCATAAGGACCAATGGAACAGGATAGAGATTCCAGAAGCAAAACCTCAATTTCTCAACCAACTCATCTTCAACAAAACTTCCACCAACAACCACTAAGGAGAGGAGAACCTACTTAGTAAATGGTGCTGGGAAAACTGGCTGACCACAGGCAGAAGATTAAAACAAGACCCCTACCTGTCACCATACACAAAAATCAACTCTAAATGGATCAAAGTCTTAAATGTAAAACCTCAAACTATAAGAATCTTAGAAAATGCAGGAGACACCCTTATAAAAATCAAAGTAGGCAACCAATTACTGATCAAAATCCCAAAAAGCCCATGCCATAAGAGAGAAGATAGACAAGTGGGACCTCATTAAACTGAAAAGCTTCTGCAAAGCAAAAGAAACCATCAAGAGAGCAGGGAGACAGCCCACAGAATAGGAAAAAATATTTGCCAACTGTATATCTGACAAAGGACTAACATCTAGGATATACAAGGACCTCAAACATGCTGAAAGGAAAAAAACAAACAGCCCCATTAAAAAGTGGGCAAAAGACATGAATAGACATTTCACAAAAGAAGATATATGGGTAGCCAACAGACACATGAAAAAGTGCTTAGCCTCACTCACCATCAGAGAAATGCAAATCAAAACCACATTGAGATACCACCTAACCCCACAGTAAGAATGACCATCATTAATAAAACAAACAACAGATGCTGGCGAGGATACAAAGAAAAGAGAACAATTCTACACTGCTGGTAGGAATGCAAACTTGTTTAACCTCTATGGAAAACAGAGTGGCAATTTCTAAAAGAACTAGAAATTGACCTTCCATATGACCCAGCAATCCCCCCTACTGGGAATATACCCAGAGGAACTCAAATCATTCTACAAAAAACATACCTGCACACACATTTGCTGCAGCATTATTCACAATAGCAAAAACATGGAACCAATCATACTGCCCATCAAAACTGGACTGGATAAAAAAAAATGTGCTACATATACACAATGGAATATTACACAGCCATAAAGAAGGACAAACATCTGGACTTTGTAGCAACTTGGATGGATTTAGAGTCTGTAATACTCAGTGATCTATCACAGAAACGAAGAACAGAGTACCTCATGTTCTCACTCATAAGCGGACCCTGAACATTTACCATAATACTGTAAGAAAGGGATTGGCAGTAGCGGGATACTTGCAGGGTGGGGGTGGGGACACAACATCAATAAGCATACTTGATCTCAAACTAGACAAAGTGGGGACCAAAGGGAGGTCTAAACTTTACCTGTATGATGTCCATGTGTACACTTAATCCTGAATTGTACCCCACACCTTTAAAATAAATATAAAAGAAAGCTGGTTCTACAGTCAACTCAAACTGCACCTTGAGTTCACTCCCACTTGAAATATTTGTGTACAACTATCCTGCTGAGAAAAGTACATGCTCTCTGAGTGCAGAACCATTAATTATTCAGTTTGTAATCCCCACAGCTAAAACAAAGCTTCACATACAATAGCCACTCAATATTTTCTGAATTTAAAAAATTCAAGGGGTCAGAGGAAAAAGGGACATACATCTATAAATACCGTTATTTATACACAAATCAGTTGTACACAAATTAGTTTTAAAAAAATACGCATTCATGAGCAAAAGAGACAACAAATTATTTTGACAGTACAATTTTTACAAAAGCACAAGAACTACCAAATGAACATACCTACTAATTACCAGATATTTTACTCATAGTATCTCAGATCCCTACAATACCACCTTCTTTCTAATAATTTACCTCTCATCGCCTATGAATTAAGTAATAGAACCAGAAGTGGAAACTGACCTCAGCAGATTCCAAAACCCATATGTGTGCACTGCACCATGCTGAATCTAAATTGCAGAATTAAAGAGATTGGTATTCTACTTACTGAATAGAATATGCTCAGCCAGATTTGCAATCAGCCTCCTTCGCAGGGATTCATCTGTTGCATTTCTGGGCTCACTAATGGATGTGTCTCCACCTTCAACAGCAGCATCACTGGGTCTGAAAAGTTTTAGGAAAAATCAACCTTCCACAACAAACTCACCCTTTTAAAGGCAAACCATGTGGGACTAATCTATAAACAAATTAGATACCTTAAATTATTACATATTTTAACTGTAAACCACAAATAAATTATTTTTATGGATTTCCTACATAATATACCTGTTATGCTTAATACACTATCCTGGCCAAAACATTTAGTTACAACTAAATCGTCTGTTGATATATCATTTCCAGGGTATTGTGAATTAGGTGAACATTTTGCTGAATGAAATCATGTTAAATGTTTTGTTTTTCATTGACTGAATTACCTCTCCCAATGATATAATTACATCTTTTAGCATCTTTGAATAATAAACATTTTCTGACAAGTTCCGGCAGAAAGAATGAAAAAAGCAAGACACCTGATTTCAAAATGTTTTGAAAATTCAATACTTCCACATACTAAAGGAAGGACTTCATATTCAATTTCTTCAAGTTATAATTCTATTTGAATTCAGAAAAATTCAAATAGCAAAACTCTTTTATACATTTCACTTATGTACAATATGCATAACCTAAGTTACTACCAAAAAATTCACTTCATTCAAAACACATAAATCAAATAAGAACTCCTATATGAATCATAAAATCAATAAGTTTTACATGCAAATAATCAAAAACCTTGAAACTAATATGGAAACACATCATTCAATATCCTTTATTGAACCAAGAGAAATATTTCTTGAGTGAGAAAGTGAAAACAAGAATCTGCACATTTTTAATAAGGTTAACCTACTTCTCTATGCAGTGCAAGAAATAACAGATATTTGATAGTTTCATTAGCATAAAAAATTTCTGCCAATTTTACCTTGAAGGAAGTATAGCTGGTAACAATGTTTGCTCCAGAGAAAGTGGAGCGGACACAGGTTTTTGACTTTGGCTTTCTAAATATTCCTGGGGGGGAAAAAACCCACAACATGATCATTTACTCTCACTTTTACATCAACATGTAAAATATAATTTGATCTTCCAAAGGTTAAAAGGGAGTTGTTTATAAAATAGGCCATGCTATGGAATGGGGGATATACCTTCAATATCCTAAACTATCTTTCAAAGTCCAGAATTATTCATAGAATGTTAAGCATGAAATTTAAAAACTGAAGATGCAAAGTATAAAATAACACTTACACAAAATCATTTGAAAATTAAAGGAGAAATTTTTTCTCATATCTTCATAAAATTATTTTACATTCCAAATATTGTTAATGATGATAATCAACAAAACCATACTTTAAAAAAAAATCTGGCAACCCAAGGGTCATATTATATTCAAAAAAACCTCAATTCAAAGGCAAATCATAACAAGATCAAGAAACTGTGCAATAGTTTTTTTAAAAAGTGGAAAGAAATGACAAGGTTCCTAAAAGCTGAAAGCATGTAAGGCCAGAAAGCATCTAACACAGAAGCTAGAATCTTTTAAAGTTAAGCCAATAAGAGGAGCAGAAAGACCTCTGCTCCTTAGCCCTGGTTTCCCTAATTCCTTACCCATTCTTCTCCTTCTCCTTTATCAATTTGAAAATCTTAAGAATTTAAAACAGCAAGGACCTCAGGAAACTGCAAGTCCTAGACTTTCAATGAGTATGGCATTATTCCGTGACATGTATGGGTACTGGATTTCATGCAACAGGATACGGCATCGTCCTCACTGTCAATTTTACCCAGGTTTTAGAGGAGGTGTTTTGATAAATTTCTCCAAAAGGCAATTTTGAAACACAATGTAAGATGCCAACATATATTATAAAGCACCATGCAAGATTCACATAAATTTTTTTTATTTTTTAAATATTATTTCTTTATTCATTCATTCATCTACCTTGAAATAGCTTTTTTAAATTGATATATAATAGTTGTATATATTTTGGGGTACATGTGATATTTCAATACCTATACACAAAAAAAATAATGATCAAATCAGGGTAATTAAAATTGCCATCATCTCAAATATTTATCTTTTCTTTGTGTTGTAAATATTATAATTCTTCTCTTCTAGCTATCTTGAAATATACAATAAATTGTTAAGTATAATTTTCCTACTGCACTACTGAACACTGGAACTTATTCCTTCTATCTAACTTTTTTTGCACCGCTTAGAGTCTCATGAATTTTTTTTAAAGCAATAAATTTTGAGCCTGATATCTCCCAAAATAGATATTTACTTTCCTTTATCAATAGGCAAATTTGGTGGAAAAATTTAGAAAACACCACTCTTGTCATAGGCCTCATTTTATAGAAGAGAAAACTGTGGCCCCAAGTCACACAGAGAGAGGCCCTTAGAGCCAGCGCTAGAGTCCAGATCTTCTGACTCCAGGTCAGTGCTTTAACATAGCTTCATTCCAACAGATACTCACCTTTAAAGAAAATGGTTGTGCAAAATCCACTCTAACACATCCATAGTTTTTCCGTAACATTCTAATAACACCTCTTGCTACACTCCACAGGCTCTCATTCTTCTTAGGTTTGCCCTAAATTCCAATAGTGAGAATAACATGGTAAGAAAAAAGCTAAAACATACACAAGCTTTCTGTTTTTAGAATAATTTTTTTTATTGAAGTTGGAAGTTCATCTTGAAAAAGACAACAATGAATGAAGAAGGAAAATAAGTATTCATTAACTGAAACTTGTCAGAAAATGTTTATTATTCAAAGATGCTAAAAGACGTAATCATATCATTGGGAGAGGTAATTTAGTCAATGAAAAACAAAACATTTAACATGATTTCATTCAGCAAAATATTCACCTAATTCACAAGAATACAATTGCAAACCAGTGAAGGATAAAATGACATAACCTAAAAAACTGGTTCTCAGATTAAAAATAAGACATCAAAGAGGCCACTTATCTAAGGTCTGATGATCACCAGAGTCTAATTCCCTAACATTAGGCAACTGACAGCCAAATCCAGCCTCCCAGGACCCTTTGAGCTGATTATTCATTTAGTAAGCACCTAGTATCTATTATACAGGAACAATGACAGGCCATATTATGGACACAATGACTCAGATATGACCTTGTGAGATACACTCAGGATAAGTAGGATACACATCAAGGACAGACTCATTCAACTCAAGAATAGTGCCACATGAATAATATTCCAGGCCTATCACTGAATTTCTAAAGTCTCTGACTATCAAGTACCCTTGAACTTCTGACACATTTGGAGTAGTAAGCTTGAAGCAAGTCCTTGCTCAGGACTTCCACACTAAATAAGAACAAAACTAAATTCCTCTGGAATTCTGACTGCTAACAGGAGTGTTAAGTTGGTATAACCATTCTGACAAAGTGTTTGGCAGTATCTACTAAAGCAGAACATACACACATTATTTATTCTATCAGTTCCACTCCTAGGTACATACCCCCCAAAATAAATACATATGCTAATCAAGAAAAATATACAAGAATGATGACAAACTTTTTTTCAGCAATAGAATAGATAAACTGATATATTCATACACTGGAATGCTACACAGCTATGAGAATGAACAAACCACATGCAACAAGGATGACTAACAAATATCTGCTTGAGCAAAGGAAACCAGATGTATAAAGACCACATACTGTATTAACCCATTTATATAAAGTTCAAAAATAGGCAAAACTAATCTATTCTGTAAAAAGTCAAATAAGTGTCTCTGCTATTTTTTAAAATGACAAATAAACAGTTATTCTCAAGGGGATAGTTATAGGAGGAACAAAAGGGGGAGTTTCTAAGACCCTGGCAATATCATTCCTTGATCTGGATTCTGATTATATAAGTGTGTTCACTTTGTGATAATTCAAGATACATGCTTATGATTTGTGTACTTTTTACAACTATTATACTTCAATTAAAAAGTTTTCAGAAAAAATTACTGCCACTTCTCAAATTAACTTGGAGTTGTTTTGCCAACATGACCCCAGTAGCTCTTTAGGCCTAGTTTAAAATATGTACATAAGAAGTAAGCCCTGAGCAGAACAAACCACAGATAACAACCCATAGTGGAGATGGCAACTCAGTGGCAAGTGTTCTCCCATGTCCCAATCCATGACCAAGGCTAGTACAGATAATCTAATCATGTTATTAGGCCAAGTGCAGGAAAACATCACATGAGCACTGCCAGTCAAGCTGACAGAGGGGATAAAAGTTACTCACTATGCCTATCCAAGCACATTCCATACAGTGCTTTAAAATAGGGAGTATCGAAAAAATTCTTAGTTAATTCCAAAAGCAAAATTAAATTCTAAAAGTTAACTCTAAAAGCAAGATTTGAAAAGCAAAGACGACTTTTGTTTAGGCAGTTCCCTTACCAGTTGTTCGCCATTGTAGTGACCTTCAATAATACGATCGTAGGAGATTCCAACAGGTATTACCAAGATGTCTGGGATGACATTGGTAGACAGAGTATCCACCACAACTGACAAAAGTCCTGCCCGAGCACAGGAGGTTTTTCCACTCCTAGAGCGTGTGCCTTCCAGGAAAATCTCCAAGAATTGCTGCTGTCGAAGCAGTTCAACTATATGCTGGGATATAAGGATAGAGTAAAATATGAATTCAAGACCACACAACTTAGAATGGGCTCAGAAAAATTAAATCTTAAAAATTAAAACAAACAATTGTATCTTTACTGACAAAATATCTTATTCACACCAAATAATAGCAAAGCAGCTCCTCCAATGCCATATTTTGACAATAATAAACAATAATCATCAAACTCATACCTAAGCAATAATCACAGAAGTTATCCACATAGCTTTTTTTTCTAACCTCAACTTAATAAAGTCTCTTTTTCTTCCACTGTGATAAATAACATAATGGCTTTAAGGATAATTAAAGATATACATACCCCATGGAGCAGAGCTCTATAAAGAATATCTTTCCGTCCATCTGGTGTTTCATCTAGCCTCCGTCGTATGAAAAAGCCCCCAAGCTTATGGATCAAGGTACTATAAATTCAGAAAGCATGAATTATTTACAAAGAAAAATGTGTAAAGAATATTCAAATTCCAAGTTACTTCAAAACATTTTCCAATTGGATATAAGCCACTTATGCTGTTTGAGCTGCTGACAGTAAAAATGCAGGTATTTTTTCATTTTCCATATCATTGATGTGTTTCAATCATTTACATTATTCATCAGCCTGTGGAATAACACTTTGTATAATGATGCTCTATTACATCTGTTCCAAGCTAAAAGAAGTCTGCATGATATATTATCCTATAAAGTTGATAATATAGATTTTAAGAGAATTATGGAACACTTAAATTTTAAAACACTGTCAAGGGTCTCAAGACACTGACCCTTAGACATCCTGAAATTTGCCCATGGCACATGTACTTCAAACAAATGTCACATTACAAAAGCCCTTGGGGGAAATTTGCTTAGAGAGGGTCCTGTGAGACAAAGATAATTTTATCAAACTGAAACCAAGCATAACTGTCTTTTCAAAACATGAAACAAAAATCTGTTTCATTTGTACATACACAGGCATAAAACAATTCTTTTCCCAACTCCATGTCTCTTTCTACAACATTGATGAATTTTCTAAGTCAACCTTTTCAAATTCATAACCTCCTACTATTCTTTTCAAATAGTGATACTAATATAAATATAAATTTCAATATCTTCTACAGTCAGTATAAGGAGACCATAGTAAGAAGCTGCCAAAGCTTAATATCACTCTTTGCAAGTAAAACTCTGCAGAATAAATATATTATGAACAAGATAAGCCATCCACAGAAATAAATACCTGAGAAGTGATTTATGAATATACAAGATGGTATGTAACCAATAAATAGGCTAGGTTCTCTGCAGTCAGCTGTGGCCGAAGGGAGGATAAGTTATGCAATGACTGGCATAGAGTTCATGAAAAGAAAAATTAGATTAAGAGAAATTATCAGTGCTTACTAAGCACTTGAGATTCTAGTTAAGAACAAGACATGGGGAGAATGAGTATATGAGTTACTCTGATTATAAGAAAGGTAAACTATTCTGTTTACAAGAGTGGCCAGATTTCTCTCGAGCCCCCATTGAATAGTCCTATTCACTCTAAGTCTAAGCCCTCCAGAAACTTTCTGATAACTTTCTAATTCAGGTTCCTTGATACTGAGAAGAGGTGTCCTGGAAAGCAAACACAGATATTCTGATCCCTGGAAAAGCATGTCTAGCCTGCAGGGTCACATCATACCGTATTACACTGTCTATTTTGGCTATATTCCCCATCAGATTATAAGTTACTTGAAGGCAAAGACAATGTTCATTCTTTTCTAAAGCACAGCATACAAATATCTTGACTGCATGAATGGATGGATTCTCTACAGTTGGTCACATGAGTGTAAATAGCTACAGAACTCCAAGCCAAGGGATTAGGAAGAGGCTCCTGGAACTGTGAGGATGAGAACCAGACTTCACAGCACACAAAGGAGACAAAGACTATCTTGTGAGACTTTACCTGAACAACCTGCCAGCAGACTTCTCTTCCGGTCTCTTTCCAAATTCATCCCCTCTTATCCACTCTCTGACATTAGAGATACTTTGTGTTTTCTTTTTTAATTTTGACTTTGAAGATGTGGGGTACAATTCAGGGTTAGGTATACAAATGTTCATCATGTGGGAACCCTTGTTGATAAGGTGTACTCCCCCATCTCCTGGCAGCTTCCCACTACACCAAAACCAACCGCCACCTACCCTGGCAGTTTCCAACTACTGCCAATCCCTTTCTTATAGGATTATAATAATTATTCTAAGTCCACTTATGAGTGAGAACATGTGATACTCAGTTCTTTGTTTCTGCAACAGATCACTCAGTACTATAGCCTCTAAGTCCATCCAAGTTCATAATTTTGTCCTTCTCTATGCTGCATAATATTTTATAGTGTATATGTACCACATTTTTTTTAAATCCAGTCTTCTTTCGATGGGCAGCACAGTTGGTTCCATGTTTTGCTATTGTAAATAATGCTGCAATAAACAGGCGTGTGCAGGTACCTTTTTCATAAAATGATGTGATTTCAAGTTTGGTTTTCCAAACCAACTCAACTTACTCTCCACCAATTCCTTATTGGTGATCAGATCCAGCATCTACCCAGTTCCCTAGGCAGTAAACACTGGGAGTCTTCCTTTCTCCTTTCTCCCTCTATCGAGCCTCCACCTGGACTTGCACTGGGTCTTATAAATTCAACCTACTAAATACTTTTTAAATCTATGCCCTCCTATCTAAGAACACTATTACACTTTAAATTTAAGCCTTCATTATCTGTTGCCTAAACTATTTTAATACAATCAGAATTGATCTCTTTCTGATCCAGAATCCAAATCTAAATATGTCACTTCTCAAGTATGAGAGAGACTCTAAACTCAGCTTAGAAATTGTTTTGATCTAGGTCCCACTATTTATGCAGCTACCACCTCCAGTCTCTCCTTTTCAATGCATCCTAAACTCTAACCTTACCTACTGTCTACCACTTCTTGACCACACTATGCTCTTGAATCTCTTGGCCTTTCCACATACTATTTCCTCTGAATGGAGTACACTGCATTCTCCAGAAAACCTCTTAAAATACATATTTTACACTGCATTATATTTTTTAAATTGTTCTAGCTCTACTAAATTATAGGTCAAAGTAACAGGTATGGTTACCTTTATACCACCACCGCCATCTGTACTTCACCTGGTACAATAAGTTTTTATCTTGCCTTCCTAATCATCTTTTATCTATTTGATAAATTCTGCCCATAAAGTTTAGGTATTCACAGTTCATCAAGTATCCATATAAAAGATATACATAATGGTGCTGTTCTTAAAGCTTTTTTGTTCTCTCCAAATTTTATACAACAAATATGCCTTACTTTTATACTAAAAGAAAAAAGGCTAATGTCTTATTTACAATAACACATATCAAAAAGTAAAATTTAATTAAAAAAAAATTCCAAACACAATCTGTTTAATACCATCAATTTCAAAATAAGCTGATCTTACCTGAAGATCGGGATGTTGAGATTATTGCCTGAAGCAATGTATGGCGCTTTGATGTTATGGCAGAAGAGAATGAAAGTGAGCAGCAGATAGTCAATATGGGATCTATGAACTGGTAGAAATATAAGCGGCAAATTTGTCTAGTAAAGGGAAAAATGCCAAATTTAAAATTAAAATGTAAAGTTCAATCACACTTTGCAACTGCAATTTGGTTAGAGTCACTCAAACACTGGCTAATCAGTGACTGAACATCTTCCTATAATATGAACTTCTTTCAACATAAAACTTACAGAGCTAAAAACAAGGACAACTATAATGACAGGCATGAGCTGGGAAAGAAGAGTAACTGAGAGTTCCAGCTGACCCTCTACCCGTCTGAGAAGCAGCTCCACTCAGGTAAAATGAGCATAGGCTTTGGAGTCAGGTTTGGTTTGAAATCCAGGGCAAGTCACTTATTATCTGTGACTTGGAACAATTTCTTTATCTATCTGTGACTCTATTTCCTCATCTATAAAACAGGGATCATTCTGCCAGATTTTTAGGGATGCTGCAAGGTAACTAAATTATAAAAGGAATCTAGCTGTTGCTGGCAGACCCTCCTTTATCATTTCTCCTCCCCAAATACACAGCTACTGAGGTTATCCCAAATGAGGGAAACCTTCCAATGTTGAAACAGCAGTAAACAAGAGAACATTTCCAAAATAACTAAAAATTATTCTACAAATGCAGGAAAAACAGAATAGAAGATTCACAGAAATTCTTGCCTCGGTTGCAGCTTTAACCATCTCAAGTTGACCCTTGTGGATTTGAATGTTCCAAAAGAAACTGTTGAACAGTTTTAGCAGCACCCAACCAGTCAATCTGAAAGAAAGCAAAAACAAAACAAACATTAATGCACATACATATATGTATATAAATATATACAGTTGATTTTTGTCTACTTAGGTTTCTGAAGCTACAACCTAAGAATACTTGTAAATTACTTTTTGGGTACATGTGAATTGTGGAATGAGAGAGCTGACTTTAAGTATATACTACTTATTAGAATTACCTGTTTATTTATTTGGCTAAAATCATATTTTACTCTAATAACACTTTATGCAGAGGCAAATGACCAAGGCAAATGAACATTTAGTCAGCCAAATACCCACTTTAATACATAAAAACCAATCTCTTTAAGACACAGATATGTGAATTGTTGATTCACAACTATTCTAGGAAAACAGATGTCAGCAGTAATATACTGGCTGCAATCAATTAGCAGAGATTAAGATACCGTCAAGCCTACCACAGTGCTGCTTCACATGGAAGCTGAATAAGAATATAAAGAAGAGTTGAAGTGAACATCAGAATACATTAAAACATCTTTTGGACAAAGAGCACTGTGCTTTTGGGAGGCCAAGGTGAGGGGATTGCCTGAGCCCACAGGTTCGAGGACAGCCTGGGCAACTTGACGAGACCTCTACAATAAATTAAAAAATTAGCTGGGTGTAGTAGCACGTGACTGTAGTTCCGGCTACTTCGAAGGCTGAGGCGGAAGGATTGCAGGATCCCAGCAGGTAAACACTGGGGTGGCCATGAGCGTGCCACTGCACTCCAGCCTGGGCGATGGAGTAAGTTATCAACACACACACACACATACACACACACACACAAAGGGGCGCTATACTAGGAAAGTCCAATGACTCAGTACTATTTGCTCAAATAAGGATGACTCTTACTACATGCTTTTTGTCTTGTCTTTTAATACCTGATCATTGTCGGTGAGACAGTGGCAACCATTTCTTGAAGGATCCTTTTAGCTTTCTTTTTCACTTTATTAATGGCTTTTGATTGCTGCAGAGCAGAACCATCAGAGTTTAATTCCGTAGCCACTTCTACAATCGCCTCTTGTACTCTGGTTTTAAAAATGGAAAGACAATATAACTGGTTCTGTGCTATATTCTGAATTTAGTATTTTCTACACCATAAATCACAAAATAAAATGTGCATTCTCTTTTAATATGTGGTAACATGAGAGAATAAGCTCAAATTAGAAGTGCTCTTTCTGGCTGCCTATCAAACATTAAGGATATACTCCTAAATAAATAAATCTCTGAAAATTCTGGAAGGCAGACTTAAGAATTTAATTCAATTCACTAGATAACAACTATGTGAATTTGAATGCTCCAGTCATATTGTGAGGGACACAAAATTACACTCTAGCCGAAGAGAGAAAAAGAAAGGTTATCCCTTTAGGCATATCATTCAGAGGTATCCAAAGGCTCACTGCCAAATTAATGTGTGATATTTATCGATTTTCACTGTGACACCATTAGTATAACTATATGAAAAGCTCTCTGGGAGGGTTCAAGAGAGACATGAATATAAACATTTTGTTCAAATTAATACAGTAATTTCTAAAAAGAACAGCTCAAGATCAAAACAGTATAGCAGAGCAATAAGCAATGAGAGAAAAGGAAACGTTTAATCCAGTTTTACAAGTCATCCACTTAATTTAGGGAAGAAAGCATAAGGTTAAGTATACTTAGACACTTCTAACATTGCAGTCACTAGTCAAAACATTTGGATGGAATAAAACATATGTGAAGGTTTTAACTAGAAAACAGAATATATAATAATCCAAGAGATTTTTCCAATAATTGCTACTGATTTTAGTCTAATGAAGTACAGCAAAACTCCACATAGGCAAGAATTTCTGTGACTCTTCCATTCTGTTTTTCCCATATTTGTAGAGTGATTTTTAGCTCATTAATACAAAAAGACCAATTTCACAGTCACTGAGGCAAAGCAATTCTACTTCTTGAATAGAATTTATTGCATTCTGGCCAGGAATGTTTTCATAACAAGTTAACATGATTGTTACACCTCCATTATCAGCTATTCACTCATTCATTCAATAATTACTTCTTGAGTTCCTTCTATGTGCCAGCACTGTTCAGGCCTTAACAATGATACCACAGGGCCTACAAATGACCCTTGTGAATTTAAAGCAGCTTTCGATTCACACTGTTTACCTGCTCCCCAAATCCAGATCTCTAAAACAGACCACACTAATGAGGTGGAACAGAACAACCTCCACCCAAACTCCCATATTCCAGAATATTTATTTCCCAATTCAAGTTCAAGTAAGTCTCTCCCATTTGTAAGTAAGGTCCTCTGAGAACAAGAACAATATCATACTCCCTTAAGATTTCTAGTGATGACTTTCTAGTAAAGAATTTGTACCCAGGTATTCATTAACTGGCAAAAATATCAAACTCACTTCTCTTTTGGCTATAAAAGAGGAAATGCAATATGTCTCCAATACTCATACTATAGAAAATCAACAGAGAACTCTGGAAATATGTGCATCCCTGAACTTTTGCTTGTTTTTCATGTATTAGAAGCCCATTCAATTATTAATCCATAAAACAAGACTGCTATTTCCATATGGCCCTGTTCACCAAAGTCATCTGTTCCCCTGCCTTTCCTTGGTTTCCCTGCCTTTTCTTGGTTTCCTTTGGAGCTTAACATTTCATCTCTGGAAATGGGAACACTTCTTGAGACAGAGTCCTAAAGACATTAAAGGTTACTGGAAAGAATTACTTCCCTCTCCCTTGCCCACCCTATTTCTGCCCACCTTTACACAGGCGCCCACCCCCCCTTACCTACTGCTGTTCAGCACATTTTCAGTCACATCGTTAGCAAACATGCCCTTATGCACATCTCGTTCTTGAACAAAAAGAACATAGGAAAGACGTCTTGCAAGCCATCCCCGGTGCCTGCAACACAAAAATGATTTGGCAGAGAAGACTCTAGGCATACCTAAAACAAGTTGCTTAAATTATACACTGGTTTTCTGCCCATTTAAACAATGCCTAATGTCATCTATTCCCAAGACAGAGTTCTCCTATAGCAAATTCTCCTTAGTATTTCAGGATGCTGTGCAGTCAATTTTATTCATAACTTCTTTCATATACTCTCAGTTAAAACAGAAATTTGAAATTTGTGTATTAATGCCCAAATAGTGTTACTGTGCTGAATAATACTCCCAATATAAAAACAAGACAAAAACATCTGACTTTATTAATAGCATTAAAAAGGCAAATATGTTAATACTACATATAAGCTATAGCTATATATATATACTTAACAGCTTATAGTTACAGCTATGGGCTGTAAAAAGATAAATTTTCCTACCATAAAGTCTTTTCCTACCATGAAGGGATAATTTTTTTATTATTATCATTTGTCTGTTTTCTTTCCTAAGATAATCACTGAATCGCCAATTGAACAGACAAGGCTTATCAGTTGAGAGGAGTTAAACATAACTGGTCTATGGTCTGAATATTTGTACTCTGGGTTTCTGAAGCCAGAATTTCTCACTTTTTTTCCTTTACATTTTAAACATACCTAAAGGATAGGACATATTCCTGTCACTGACAATGATTATGTGATATTTAGATGGAGGGATGAAGAAATGAATTTCAGAATAAAAATGCTATTAAAAGCCTGCATTATGTAATCATTTGAAACCATTTGTAATGATTATCTAATGCCACATTATCATTTCCTCCATAATGGTATAGACAATAGATGATTTCAAATATAAACGCATCAATTCTGAGAAGACCCAAAAAGCCCTCAACTGAGGAAAAGTAATTTGAGAAAGAACTGCTAATGAATTATCTCTTCCTTCATCTCTCCTTCCTGCCATTCCTTTTCTTCCTTTGTCTGTCATTTAAAAATTTGGCCCAATATGTTAAGTGTTAATTCTAAACACTTCCTTCAGCGAACATTTCCAAATTTTCTAAAGTATTACTGAAATGTACAGAATCCAAGTTCTTTATGAAATCTCTTTGCAATTGACTAGAAGCAGAGTGTGTGTGTGTGTGTGTTTGTGTGTGTGTGTGTGTGTACAAGTGTATGTCAAAATGCTTAGACTTTGGTTCACATAACACACAGAAGGGTTATAGAGCTGCACAGGCAGCTGGTTTAATTCAATAGTTTCATATTGCCCAGTCAACACAGTTGACTTTTCTTTACTGCCTGTTAATGCAGAAAACAAACAAACCTCTTGGCTTTATATGTAAAATGCCTATTTAAACATAAGGAAGAGACTTTATGAGACCCCTTTTCTTAGGACATTAATCAGTCAACCAAGAAACAGAAGAAAAAAAATTTAAATGGACCAGAGTCTCTCCTCTGTTCTTCAAATTTACAAGAGAGAAAAAAAGAGCCAGGGAATAAGAAAAATATGCTCCATGTCTTTGTATTTTTTTTTAAAATTTACTATATGTGCAAGTATTAGCATTCTTCTATGTGAACTTATCAAATAATGAGAAATGATATCAGAAAGGCTTCAAATTTAAGTATTTGACTTCTTGGATCAATTTTTCATTGAATTTCAATCATTTCTCATATTCTGAGCCTGCATGCTTAACCTACTCCTGGCATCTACCCTCTTAGAACTACAAGGACTGCCAACATTTTGGGCTACAGCTTCTCTTGCCTCACAAACATTCACAACAGCCTCCCAGCCCTCCCTCCTGTCTTCAAGCCTGGATTCAGGTAGAACAAAGGCCCTTTTCTCTCACTCTGGTGCCTACAAGTTCATCCCCATATGCCTGGAATTTGGAAGTAAGAATTCTAAGCCTTAGCTAAAAAATAAATCAAAGAACATTTGCTCAATAGAGGAAAATATCATCTAATACCCTACAGATCAGGCAGACTGTAATCATTTATACTTTTTTTGAAGTATAATATAGTCATAATAAATTATAAGACATTTGAACCTACATGTCTCCACAGACAAATATTTCCCACATTTTGGCATACTTCATATGCGATATCAATATATAAAAACAGTCAAAGAAGGCTGTAAGTGCAACTGTCCCATGAAAATATTTCTAAGTACAGTGGGGATAATAGTAACAGGTCTCTCTGGTGGCTGTACAGTTTCCAATTTTAATATGAAGACTCTTATGTCAGAAGCTCATACTCTATTAACTCTCAAAAACATAAAGAGATTTACCATAAAGTATGTTAATTATTATGGAGTTTTCCTTTTGAGATTTACCAGAAGCATGAGAAATGTCTTTTTACCTTGTGTGAGTTTCGTTGATATAAATAACATTCCGCAAACCCAAAGACGGGATACTGGGGTTGAAAAATTTATCCTATATAAAACAAAATAAATGAAGATATAAATATATAACTAGATAGAAGATGGTATAGTGCTCACATTACTAGTTCTTGAAGACTTTTAAAATTTAAGCATAAAGTTAGGCACTGCTTCAAAAATCTAAGTAATAAAGAAAAAATGAGGTGTGTCCCCCCCACTTTCCCTGGCAGATATCGACTACTGTCAATCCCACCTCTCCGCCACCCTGCAGTTTCACGCTACTGTTCTATTAAAAAGTACTTTTCAGCCTTTAGAGAAAGTCACAAACCCTCTCCTTCTTGCCCACTCCTCATCTCTATCCTGAAAGAATTGAAGCTACAGAAATGTCAGAGACTTCAGTGTTTCCAAAATACAAAGAGTATATTAAGTACCACGCAGTTATTGTTAGATGACTAAATCTCCCAATAATCCTAACACATAAAAATTATTATCCCCATTTTATAAGTGAGAAAATTGAGGCTAGCAGAGACTTAGAATTCAATCTCAGATTTGTCCCAAAGAGTATGGACTATTCTCCTAAAATAACTATACATTTAATGAGAAAATATACATCTACAGTCCTCTCTCTTTACAGGTGATCTTGAAAGATAATCCAGAGAAAGATCTGCTGAAAAGAGAAAGGCTACAGCTTTATCAATGTGGGTAAAAAGGTAAAACAAAGAGCGGAGTATCACATGTTCTCACTCATAAGTGGTCCTTGAACAACTACCGTATTACTATAAGAAAAGGATTGAAAGTAGCATGAAACTGTGGGGTGGGTGCGAGATGGGATTGACAGTAGTCGATATCTGCCAGGGAAAGGGAGGACACACCTCATCAATAAGGGTACCTGCACAATGAATATTTGTATACCTAACCCTGAACTGTACCTCACCATTTTAAAATAAAAATTAAAAGAGGGGGAAAAAAAGTAACTATGTCACAGATAAATGCTGAAAAAATCATTATATACTCTCAACAAAAGAAGTAAAAATACTTAAGTGAAATCCCTTTAGAAAAAAGAAAACAGGATTTCAGAGAAAGGATAACAATATCAAAAAGTTTCTATAAAAATATTTTCAAACAAATTATTTTAAATAAACATGACGTAGAAATTTAAAATAGAATTCAGCACCATAAGGTACTATATTCAGGCAAAACTCAATTATCCATTATACTATCAATCTATCCCCAATCTAAACTATCACCACCACCAAATAATTTCCTATACTCTCTTCTGACTTAAGAACACATTATAGTTAAGGTATTATTTTGAATAAGCATTCACAATTAGAATTTGATAAGATGTCAAGTCTAAAAAGAAAAGCCACATGACCTTCTATTTAAATCTTTATTTTGACTGGTCAACTAACCTGAACTGGCCTTAGTCCTAGGCTAGAAATTTCCATGATCCTTTAATTCTACCAAATTCTTGCAACAAGGCACTTGTAGTTTCAAAGATCAATATTTACAATGAGACATTTTTTAGTAGACCTGAACATTTAACATAAACTGCTTGGGCTCCACAGAAATCTTCATCATGTTAGCAAATCCCTTTATACCAGATTCAGAATACTACCTTCCTGACAAGCCAACCACAAGTAGAAAATTCACACAGCACAGGTAGCTATTCACACAGGTTATAAGCAACCTCTATAAATGGTGGGCACTTAAATGGCAGAATTTTTATGTTCTAATAGCTGACCCATCCCAAAGAGCTTAAACATCCAAATACACCTTTTAAAAGGCAACTCTACTGCCTTAGAACACAACCACATGAAATTCTACATTCCTGTGCTAACTTGGTCCTCTCTCCAACTCCCATCAGTAGCACACTTCTGACCCAATGAACTTCTCAAATACTCTATTGCAATGTGAAGATATTGCATGGCTTATGTGTTTTCACCAAAAGATAAACAAATCCATACCTGCTCTTTCTTAACTCTTCATCCTAATACTTCAGTGATTATCCTTCACTATCACAAAGTCAACAGACACCACCACCCCTCTCCCCCTGGAAGTGAAGAAACTTAGCAAAAGTAACAGCAAAGTCATGGCTTTAACTCCTTATTCTGTTCCTTTATTGCTTTCTCATCTTGCTAGGATTTCAATGTTAAGTGTCAAAGTTCAACACCTAGAAGTTACATAAAGGTTCCCACCAACTCTTTGGACAAGTAGATTGAAAGGAAGATCTACTCTTCCTCTAAAACCATACTAAACCAAAAGAGAACTAGAATGTCACCCAGTATCGATTATAGGAACAATATTTACTAAATAAATGAATTAAAAGAAAAATGGAGTCAACATCTTTACTGGGAATATTTGATTTATAAATATGGGCCTAAGTTTTAAAAGTGAATTAAATATATTGAGACTACACACTAAACTACGAAGTTGGAAATTTAAGTCACATACTTTCCACTCTATTTATTAAAAGTCAGCATCCCGTAACATTCTTACCCAGCTCTGGGGCGTGCAGGAATAACAACATCTTCCAACAAATGGCCTTTTTCGGCTCATGAGGCTTTCTTTCCATTTTAAAGTTGCAGATCTGAACACTGTAGGTCCAAAACCACACTCACCCTAATAAATATTAAGGAAAAAATAGTGTCTAAGTGGCAAGAGAATGATACTTGTCTACTTAATCTCTAAAACTAAGATATTTCAGATAGAAGAGAAACATAAGGTATACTCTTCTTCTAGTAGTATAACTATGTCTCACACAGTGATTTCCATTTAAGTACTTCCTCCCTAATCAACACATAGACAAAAGCTTGGCACATAAGCAAAAGTTGAGCACCTTAGAATAATAATAGCTGGTAATGATTGCTACACATCCAAGGTATCATTCAAAGGATTAAAAACTAAGCTGTAGAAAGTCAAACAGACTTTGTGACAGCAAAATGCATAAATTCAGACTCCTGGGTCTCTATGACAACGGTTAACCTTTCTTCCTTTTAAAGAATGCATTCCCACAAGGGAACTATAAAGGTCCTACCTAGTGAGCAAGTTGTTATAACTTTACTCAATACAAAACAAGGTAAACTTATATAACATTTCTTCATCTTATCAAGAAAATGTAAAGGGTGGAATTGTGGAATTTAAAATTATAGTTGCACTGTTCAATTAGGGTCAAACCCTGTTCTTCCTCTAAAAATCTTTCTTTTAACTTTGAACTTATTAGTTGCTCAAATATCACAGATATAACATTCTCAAAAATAAGTTCAAAAAACACCATTTTAAAACATAAAACAGATAGTGTTTGAGTCAATATTTAAAACCTGTCATGTTATAGACAAATAGGAAAAATGCTACAAGAAAATGCATGCACTTTGGACTGAATTCATACTAAAATTTCCTATTTTTAATTGTTAAAAGTTTATTTATACTACATAACTCATGTCTTTTCAATGTAACTCATAAGAAATATATACCAAGAGAAAGAAAAACAAATCTCTTACACCACCCAAAACAACCACTAAAGTTTTTTTTTTCCTATGCAAAAGTGTTCTGTTTTTTAATATAATCACTGTACTTAGTTTTCTACCCAATCTTTTCTTCCCAATTAACATAATACCATAAACAATTTTTAATTTTTATTAGACTTCATAAACATACTTCCTAACAGAGGCAACTTCTGTAGCTAATAACCTCTATTTCAGATTATGAGGTTGCCAGCATTGACACCTTCATAAACAACATTGAAATGAACATTTTTAGTTTGAATGCTTTTAACTCTTAAACTTACCCATTCCTCACTTGTGTGCTTACATCGGCCAACACTGTATTCTGATGAATTTGGCAGATAAGAAACATCTCTAGTGCCAAGGGTCAGTGCAGATTCATCCATGTCACAAAATGTAACTCCCAAATCATGTGCTATTAAAAAAAGTGTCATTTCAGTTCATGAAGAATCCAGAAATTAAATGCCAGAACACAAAATTCTGACTTCTACATTATTTTGCCTCATAATAGAATAACAAAGAAACTACTGGTAGAATTCTACCATGTTGAGGCACGGTGTAAAAACTGATTTTGGTGTGTTTATACAAACTCAGTTAGACAGTCCTGAATAAAATATATATATATCCTAAGGCTTCCTGAGTATATTAGAATATAACATTTATATCCTGAGACTTCCTGAACAAAACATCTACAAACAGTCATTTGTAAGTATAAATAAGAGCTTAATGCAGATATGCAACAAAGAATTATTTCATTTTTGTTAATTTAAGTAGTCCTAGGAAAATGAAGGTATGTATTTATTTAATCAAATACATGTTACATGGATGCACACAGTAGACGATTTTTTAAAATTATGCACTGGGAATTTTTGCTCATATATACTTATGCAATGTAAAAGGGATAAAAGCAACTAGGGCCCCTAGAAAGTCTCCCACTCAAATTAAATTCAGCTCTTTATTTTCTTGTGGTACCTTAAAAAAAATTATATTTGCACTTTTTATACATCGATAAAGCTCTAAAAGTAAACTATTTTGTAATATCTGATTTAAAAGTCTTTGTCCTTTTCAATGTCCTTTTCTACCCTAAGGGAAAATGTTCACTAAGAGTGAATTCCTAAAGTAGATAGATATTAACCTAAAATATAACACCTTCCTAACATAATCTTTAGTCTCAAATCATTTTAGCTTTTTGGCTATTTCTCGCTTTAAATTACTCCTTTAAAATCCTGAAAGGTCACATCCAGATTAACAGCGTTCCTTGGAGGGCATATTCTGATTTCTTTACAATTCCCATATGAGTTTACTGCAGTCACTGTTATCCTCAGCATAACTACACATGTCTTTAACAACTTAAGTAACAATCTAACATAATAGGCCGTGGCGGTGAATAGTAAAGCAGTGCACTTGGGATGAAAGGTCTTCTGTATTATAACATAAAACTTCAGCACTCAGCGGTCAGTTTCGGGTGCAAAATGTCCATACAACAGGGGGAGCCCTCTCCTGCCTGAGAAAACGAAGAGATGAGGGGATGAGCGGAGGAAAAAGAGACTTGTGCCAATGGGAAGTCCACGTTTTGCTCCTCCTCCCTCCCCACAGAGTTTGCTCAAGGTCAAGCAGTAAAAAAAAAAAAAAAAATCCCCAAGGCACCGGGCAGCACGGGCTAATGCAGATTGTGGGATCCGAAAGGAACAGACGCAGGAGGGCCAGTTCTGAGGTATAAATCCCCCACTGCTTACCATCTGTTTGACTTTTTACAAGCCGGTTAACTTATATGCCTCGGTTTCCCCATCTGGAAAATGGGTATATCATAGATCTTACCTCTTGGTTTGCTGAGACGACTAAATAATACATACAAAGTGTCTAGTACCGTGTGTGACACACCGTGGGAACTCAATCCAATCAACGGTGGCTGCCGTCATTGGATTCTCCCTAGCACTGGCTGCCCTCAAAGCACCCCTGCTGTCTCAATGCACCCACGGATCCGGGGCTGGTTGGCTGAGCCTCGGCCCCTTCCGGTGTTTAGGGGAGTGAATCCCCTCCCCAGGGGAACCCATGCTGCAGCCTGGTCTCCCCGGGACAGAACAATCCCGACCCCCCGCCCCAGCCCGGCCCATTTCTTAAGGGGATCCCCAGAGTTCAAGGGAGGGGGGAAAGGGGACACGTCGGCCCCAGCAACTTGCAGAAGTCGCGCCAGGTCCACGCACCTGTCCCGGCGCTCCCGGCCCAAGCAGCCTCCCGCAGCCTACACCCGCCCTTACAGCTCGCACCCGGCAGCTCCGGCAGCTCCGGCAGCTCCGGCAGCTCCGCCTTCGGCTGCTGCGGCTGCCGGCAAGTCAAGCCCCGGCTAGAGGCTGCTGCAACAGCGCGCCCGGATGACGAAACTGGCGCGCCGGAGTGATGTTGCGGGGCCGCCAGCGATCCAGAGCTGGGAGGTGGGGGGCGGGCCGGGCCGGGGGCGGGGCTGGGGCGGGGCCTGGCAGCCTTACGTGCGGTGCCCGAATCGAAGAGCGGAATGTGTGCGCGTCCGGAGAGTGTTTGTGTGCACATAAATCTGCAGTATGTGAACTCTGCTTATCTTGGAGCTTGTATCTCTTCCAATCTCTGTTGTGAGTGTGTGCGTGGGCTATCTGGCTTTATATGTATATGTGTGGTCTTTTTACGAGATTTGTAAGAGTGTGCAGAATTTAGTAAGAATATAGGAGGCAGGTATTGCAAATGGTGTTTTATCATTTCTACAAAAGTGTCTAAGTACATTTTCCTTTAAGGAGGAAAATGAGGAATGAAAAGAGAGGCAAATAAGACTTGTAGGATTACATGCCTCAATTAGACAAGAGAAATAAAGGGTGTTTTTTTTTTTTCTTTAAAATATATTGCACATCATGGTCAATATTGTACATAATAATGTATCATACATTGCCAAATCCTTAAGAGTACATTTCAAAAGTTCTCACCATAAAAAATGTACCTATTTGAGGTGATGGATATGTTAATTAACTTGATTATGTTATGCCACATTGTATTCATAAATCATAAAATTACTTTGTACTCTATAAATATATACAACTATGACTTGTCAGTTTGTAATTTTAAAAATGTTTTTAAAGAGCTTGAAAAAGTCTGAGTCTAAATTTTCCACATTTAGCCCTTGAAACAAAATAAAAGTGAGCACAAAGAGGTTCTTTCACAATATTTGTCATGACATTGACAAGACCAATGGTTATCAAGAGCATTAGCAATTTAGAAGGAAAAAGATCATCTTTTATGTGCACTCAAGCAACAAGCATTAAGGGAATACAAAGATGATTAAGGTATGCGGTAATTCCTGCCCTCAAGACTCTGCCACTAGTCCCTTTCCCTCCTGCACCCTCATCCCCTGTTCAAAACAAATCTTCATGCATGTTCATCCCAATCAAAAACCCACGGCCATCTTAAGCCAAATGCCTGAGCCTGGAACATAAGGCCTCCACAGAGATGCCTCTACAACTGCCACTCTTCTTCAGCAGAAACTCCTTGCTTCTTCCCCTTTGATTGTCCCTAAATAGGCCATGGCCACTAATCCTCCTAATTCTATTCATACTACTCTCTCTGTATTTCCTTCCTGAACTAGTTCTTCAAGCCTTCTCTAGTCTCTCCAGCCATCAGTAATAACACTCTCTCTCCTATGAAGTCTCAAATATTTACTATGGCACCACACCTTGGGTCTTTCTCAATTTGTGTCTGTATTCTACATGATTACAAAATCATCATGAGGGTTCTTTGCCTCAGTCTCTTAGTTAACACTACAGTGTCTTTTTATGGTAAGTACTCAATAAATACTTGAAACTGAGGAACAGTAGTTTTTTTAAAAAAATTCCTTTTCTTGATTTTCTGCTTTGGATTATAAGCCATCCCAAAGTGCAAATATTCTCCTTTTTTGTAACAACCTAAAAAAGTAGGAGTTGATGTTTATATTTTTTTTTAAAAAATTTAGGTCAATCATTCTGTCTTTATTCAGCCTACACACATATTTTAGCAATAAGCACACACCTAAGTATTAAAGGACTGTCTGTTAACTAGAATAAGGTGAACTTTAATCCCAAAACATACGAAATTTTATATACAGATTATTGGTCTCTGATAAAGAAAAAAAAAGCAGTGATAATAGGGGAAATTTTAGGGTTTGAAGTCATTATTAAAGAGAAAATAAATGAACTAAAGAGAGTACCACAGGAATTTTACAACATAAGCCAGAGGGAAAAATTAAATTATCTTACATAAAGTTTATTTATAGGTAACTCTTCTGTAACACCCATTGAATAAGGGTTACTGTACTTTCGGGAGATGTGGGTTGCAATGCCAGGTGTTTCAGGTTACTAAATGAGAATTGTTTGGGAAATAGGTGACACCCTAAGCAATCTGTTTTATCAACAGAACCACTATAATTTTTAGTAATCCAGTCTACCCAGCCAAGGTGAAGCAACAAAACTGAATTTACTCTCCTGCCTACACAACTAAAAACAAAAACAAATATGCATGTATAAAACAATGGTTTTCTAACACTGGACATCACATAACAGTGCTGGATAGAGTCCCTGAGCGTGGGAAAACAAATGACAGGAGCCCTACGATTGCCTCAGTTTACTACCTAGAGAGAGTTGCTAGGCTGCAGTAAAGACAGGCAAAATCCAGAAAGAGCTAGGCAGATTCCCTGAGTTGAGGAGATAGGACTGGGAGACCAAGGCAGACAAAGCAGCTGAAGCTGAAAGCAGAATATGGGACAGGAGAAAGTTACACAGAGAAAGGAGTTGCATAGATCTGCAGAAGATCTCACTCCAGTCTTCAGTTAATTAGAACATGTATGTGAGGAAGAAGTTACCCAAGGCCAGGGAAGAGTCACATACAAAAACAAGAAAGAAAACAATCAAAGCTTGCACAGGGCAGAGAATTAATATTAATCCTGTTTCCATAAGACAGAGTGGATAGGTACCCAGTGATCAGAAGTAGTTCCTAATCCTGACACCCAGCCTAGAAAACTTCATAATTTATGGCTCAAACAGTCTGTCCTTGGTAGTGGGGCAAAATTAGCCCTACAGTAAACGTTACTCTGGTCTTGGCTAACAAGTCTTAAAAGCCAGCCCCAAAGGAATTAATGGTTTTCAAGAATAATGCAGAAGAATATGTATAGGAAATCAAAAATATTCAGCACCTAACTAGGTAAAATTTACAATGTCTGGCATCCAAACAAAATTAGGAAGGATGTAAAAAAAAAAAAAAAGACAGGAAAGTAAAGACGGCGGAAATTACTCAATTGAAGGAGTCCTAGAAAAGACAGAGAGTATTAAATCATTAGAAGACAAACACATTAAGAAAGGAATTATAACTACATTCAATATGTTCAAAAAATAGAGGAAAGATTGAGCTTGCTAAGTAAAGGTATGGAAATATTTAAAAATAAAAAGACCTAAAACAAACAGCTAAAGATTATAAAACCATTGCCTGAGATTTTAGACACACACACATATAGGATTAACAGCAGTTTAGACATTATGGGGAAAAAAAATTGTGATACAAACTGTCCAAAATGAAACACTGAGGAAAGAAAAGGACTCAAAAATGAACAGAGTTCCAGGAAGCTTAATAAGCATGCAATTGGAGTCCCTGAATAAAAGGAGAAATGTGAGGTGAGAACAGATCAGGGAAGGCAGAAAAAATATTTGAAGAAATAATGGATAAAAACTTTCCAAGTTTGATCAAAACTATAAAATCACAAAACTAAAAATCTCAACAAACTAAGTAGAAACATGAAGAAAACTGTACCAAGGAACATCACAATCAAAATGTCTAAAATCAGTGATAAAGAGAAAAGGCTATTAGAGGGGGGAAAAAACTACTGTACAAAGGAACAAAGAAAAGAATTATGAATGACAGCAGACTTCTCATAGGAACTATGCAGTCTAGAAGATGGTAGAGCAGCATCTTAAAGTACTGAATGAAAAACTGTCACTCGAAGTCTTTTATAGATATATCAAAACAAGGCAAAATAAAGACATATTCTGACACACAAATGCTGACAAATTCATCACCAGAAAACTTACTCTATAAGCAATGTTGAACAAAGTCCTTCAGACCAAAAGAAAATGCTACCAGTTAGAAACCTGAATCTACACAAAGAAACTAAGAGCTTAAGAAACCATAAGTATGTAGGTAAATATTTTTTTCATATTTTTTAAACCATCTTGAAGGATGCTTGATCAATGAAAATACAAAAACAATATTTTGTGGGATTTATAACATATAGAAATAAAATGTATAACAACAGCAGCACAAAGTCAAGAGAGGAGAATTTTTTTTTTCAAGATTCTTAAATCACTCATAAAGTTGTATAATATGAGAGGGGACACACAAAAATGGAATTTATTTATAAAAAAATGTGTATTTATTCTTACATATTTAAACTTCAGTCACCTTCAAAGTACTCTCCGTTTGATGTAATACACCTATCCAGATGTCTTTCACTGCTCAAAA